ACCCCAAAACCCCAAAACCCCAAAACCCCGTAAGAAAAATATGGGCATTGCATAAGATAAAAATATTATTAATTTATCAGTTATAATTCAAATTATGTCACAATTAAAGGAACCATTACTAATGCAGCAATAAAAGCACAATGATCATGCTGATATTAGCAACATCAAAAATATAAGTAAGACTTCATATGTTATATTTACTAGATTCGAGTTCTTCAAGCTAAAGTCCACTTCACGAAAAATTATATCATAAAAAGCATTCATAATTGGCTTTTTAATAAGAAAAAAAGAGAAATTGCTATAAGTTACTTCAAGATTTCTTTCATGAGCCAGAGATACCTTTGAAAGATAAGATCATTCTAGGACCAATTGATAAATACATTAAATACAGTAAAATATGATGCTCATCATTTGATTTTTATAGACCGATTTCCTTGGAAACTTTTGATTCATATTATGCTGATTGCATTTACTACTATGGAAGTATTACTCATTTTAGAGGGTTAAAGCGATATGACAAGAAGCTAGGAGAAAGTGTTTTATAAGTATTTTTTTAATTCAGAAGAAGAATATGATGAATTGGATGTGAATAGAGTCAGAAATTTTTATGATGTCTCGTCTCTTAGAGGTAATTAATCATGTTTAATCATTAAATTTAGATTTTGTAAAAGATTCAGTTGATGTAAATTATCTCTTCATCGTATGATTAATAAATTATAGAACTATTACAATATTAATGAGAAAACTCTGGAGTTTTATGATTACAATTACATCGAAAACAGTGAATAAATCTAGCCAATCTAGATACAAATATTTTATGCTTAAGAGCAGTTCAATCAAGAAATTGTACTAGTCATTAAATTTTTTATTTTTATAGAAAATTGAAAGTTTCTCTAATGAAGATAGCAATTTTATCGAAATTAGTCAATCAAATTTAAAGATATTTGATGAAAGTCAGTTAAGTAACGCATAGTTCAAAAGATTAATTGTTTAAATTGGAAAGATAGAGCTACTATACAAGCTTAACAACAAATTATTAGACAAAAATTTAGCTAAATCAATCCCACTTTATGAATGGGTAAAATAAGATGTTTATAATTTATTTAGACGATAAAGCAAGTAATGAATTTTGAAGATAGAAATCATATTGCTATGAAAATTTAGATCTCTAAAAAAGCACAATCAGATGAATATGCTCTCTAATACTGGGATTAATATATTTGGGTTGATATATGTATCATCTTTTTGGCTATCTCTTCTCTATTCTTTACTTGGAAATACATATATGAAGTAGCTGTTCTCTATAATGAACTAAAACTTAAGTTTGCAAAGCAAAGCTATTCAAAGGCTTACAAAGACTAATAGAAAGCTTATAGGAAAATAAGGGAACAGAACTTGAAATACAAAACAGAACTATCAGTTGTTGGATCAGCAAGAGGAGGATCAGTAAAAGATTTTAATGAATAGGATGATGAGGATTCTAGTGAAGATGAGATTCAGCAGTAGACAAAGTAGCCTTAGAATCTTAATTTAAGTTAAAAGATAGATTTTGATCAGACATTTGCCACAAGGAATGTGATTGAGCATCGAAGCTAATTGCAAGAACAGTTTAACCTTGAGCCTATGGTTCTATGGGAAGACTTAACCATCAATGACAAGATAAAGCTATTTAGCTACTGGTCATTACTGTCTATCATCTCAAACTTGCTTTAGCTTTTTGGATCGTTGACAAATTTAATGAATGTCTACAACTTTTTAAATATTGACAAAACTACAGGAAATATAGAACTATTAATTGGTCTTGGCTGCATGTTTGCATGGATCGGTTTAGTGAGATACATGGAAACTAGTGAACAATATTCTATTCTGGGAAGAACTTTAACACTCTCAATGCCAAATGTGATGAAGACTCTAATAAGCACGCTCCCAGTGCTAATGGGATACACCTTTTTAGGGGTAGCCTTATTTTGGAAATCAAACAGGTTTTCATCAGCAACTGGATGCCTTACAACACTTTATGCCTTAATGTTTGGAGATATGGTTTATGATACCTTTTATGATTTGAGTCTTACTCATTTCTTCTACTCTCAAGTCTATCTCTACTCTTTCGTATTCTTCTCGATTTGCGTGATTAATTCACTTTTTATTTCAGTTATTGAAGACGCATATGTGACTGCTAAGTACACTACTAGACTTGATATGTTCTTAGGTAGGCAGGGCTAAAATATTCCATTAAAGCCTCTATTGAGAGATAGAGATACTCCTGGCGAGGATATCTACCTTGGTTAAATAGAGAAATAGAGTAAAAAGGATAAAAAATCTTAAAAAGCTCTTGAATAAATGATAGAGTAATCACAACACGACTATGATACAAAAGAAAGAACATAAACTTAAGATGCTAATCCTCAGAGAAAATTAGAGCATTATAAAGTACTCGTTAATTAAGAGTTTGACAAAGGCTTGAAATCAATGGAAAATGTGATTAAATATAGTGGTGAGATCGTTCATCAGTTTAGAATTTAGGATATTAGTGATAGAGATTTTAGATTGTTTAATGTTGACATTGATGCAAAGATTATTCAGATGCAAAATATGCTTATCTAATTAGAAGAAAAAGTCAAAGCTTTGTGATTTAAGATTTTTTTTAATTTATTCAATTTATTTGATATAATCAGTGAGTTAATACGGGGTTTTGGGGTTTTGGGGTTTTGGGG